ATTGGAACTGAAGGTGCCTTCAGCCAGGATCAGCCACCTAATTTGGACCCTGTGCAAAATGAAAATGTAGGACCCTTTGTTCAAAATTATTAAGAATATTAAGGCCAGGCATGGTGGTTCACACCTGTAATCCCAGGAGTTTGAGACCAGGCTGGGCAACATAGCAAGACCCTGTCTCTACAAAAAATAAAAATTAGCCAAGAATGGCAGTGTGCCTCTGTAGTCCCAGCTACTAGGGAGGCAGAGAACTAGGAAGATTGCTTGAGCTCAGGAGTTTGAAGTGACAATGAACTATAATCACACCACTATGTTCCTGTCTGGGTGACATAGCGAGACCCATCTCTAAAAACGAAGAAGAGAAAGAGGAGGAGGAGGAGGAAGAAGAAGAAGAAGGAGGAGGAGGAGGAGGAGGAGGAGAAGGAGGAGGAGGAGGAGGAGGAGGAGGAGGAGGAGGGAAGAAAGGAAGGAAGGAAGGAAGGAAAGGAAGGAAGGAAGGAAGGAAAGAAAGGAAGGAAGAAGGAAGGAGGAAGAGGAGGAGGAGGAGGAGGAAGAGGAAGAAGAAGAAGACGAAGAAGAAGAAGGAGGAGGAGGAGGAGGGAAGAAAGGAAGGAAGGAAGGAAAGAAAGGAAGGAAGAAGGAAGGAGGAAGAGGAGCAGGAGGAGGAGGAGTAGGAGGAGCTGGGTCTCTGTGCAGGAAGTTCCCAGCATTACCCACTTCTTGCTCAGATGTAGAATAACCAAGATTACCACTTTCTCACTTTTACCTTAATAGTATGTGATTTCCATCAAATTTAGGATTTTAAAAGGGCAAAATATTAAGTTTGACTGAAAAGATGCCAATTACATATAGAGAAATTAGCACTCACAGGAAAAATAATTTTTAATTCAAAAATGTTTCATTTTGAAACAGTTTCAAATGTATAAAGTTGTGGCAAAAATAGCACAAGTATAGCCTTCACCAGTTTCTCCAAATAGTGATATTCTATGTAAACAATGGTACAATTATTAAAACTGGTAAACTAACATTGTTATTATTTTATAACTAATCTACAGGCCTTATTCAAATTTGTCAGTTGTGCCATTGATTTTAAAATATGCAAACTAGTTTTGGTCTTAAGATGTAGTTAATAACATATAGTTTTGGATGTAAGAATTTTTTCCTTAAACTGTGCTGATCATCTTGAGTTGTTTGAAGTCTTAGAGCAAACACTAAGACACTTTGATGCTGCTGAAAATCCTAAGTTGTCACGTCAAAGCACTCTTTAAGATTATCCAGTTTTGGTGCTTGAATGGCGGAGTTTGTTTCCTCTTAACTTTGGAAAGATGAATTGGTGTTAGAGACTGAATGTGTCTCCCTGGAAATTCTTATGTTGAAACCCTAACCGCTAATGTGATGGGATTAGAGGATGGGGACTTTGGGGAGTTAATGAGAATGTAAGAATGGAGCCCACATAAATGGGACTAGTGTTCCTAAAAGAAGACATACGAGAGAGTTTGCTTCTCCCCTCTCTGCCATGCAAGGCTATAAGGAGAAAACAGCCACCAGCAAACCAGGAAGTGGGCTCTCACCAGACACCAGATCGCTGGTGCCTTGATCTTGGATTTTCCAGCTCCAGAATGGTGAGAAATAAATGTTGTCGTTGTTGTTTTTTCTTAATTTTCTTTTTTTGGAGACGGGGTTTCTCCATGTTAGTCAGGCTGCTCTTGAACTCCCAACGTCAGGTGATCCACCCACCTCAGCCTCCCAAAGTGCTGGGATTACAGGCGTGAGCCACCGCACCTGGCCAAATGTTGGTTGTTTAAGCTACCCAACTGTCTATGTTATTTGTGTTATACCAGCCTGAGTTGACTAAGACAGTGAGCTTCAATAACAATGAAACAAATCCCTAGAATTTAAAAAAATTGAACATTTTACCCATTGATCAGCCTTGTCACTTGAGTATGCCCTGATGTAGTGTTAAGTATGTTCCCCAAATTTCACATGTTAGAAACATAATCCTCAAATTCATATGTTTATTGGAGGTCAGGCCTTTGGGAAGTACTTAGGATTAGGTAAAATCATCAGTGCAGGGCCCTCATGATGGAACTGGTGGCTTTTTGAGAGGAGGAGAGGCCTGAGCTAACACACTTGCTCCGTCTTGTCATATGATGCCTCCTACCACATTGTGATGCAGCAGGAAGGCCCCCACCAGATGCTGGTGAGACAGGAAAAATACAGGGTGGCCACAGAATAGAAAATTCTAAGCATCAGTTTCACAAGATTAACAAAAGGAGACTGTTGAGATAGCTGCAGAAGCTGGGGCTGATAAAACCCTAAAAACCAGACTTCACTGTATTACTGACTCTCTTGAGGACACCCTCATTTCCCTTTCTTGAATGTGTACTATTCTCTTTGCAGTAAATCTTTTACAATTTTCTGGCACATCCTTGAATTCTCTCTTGTAACAGTGTCAAGAAGCTGGACATGGGCTGAAGTCAAGTTCCCACCAGTATTTGGGGACCTCTCCCAGCCTATTTGTGTCATTGGCACTATGTTGTTGGACTTCTCAGCCTCTAGGACAATGAATTAATTAAACCTTTATTTTTTAAATTTTTTAAATTGTTTTTTTGAGACGGGGTCTCACTGTCACCCAGGCTGGAGTGCAATGGCACTATCTTGGCTCACTGCAACCTCCACCTCCCTGATTCAAGTGATTCTCCTGCCTTAGCCTCCCAAGAAGCTTGGATTACAGGAACCTGCCATCATGCCTGGCTAATTTTTGTATTTTTGTAGAGATGGGGTTTCACCCTGTTAACCCGGCTGATCTTGACTCTTGACCTCAGTGATCTACCTGCCTCAGCCTCTCAACGTGCTGGGATTACACGCATGAGCCACTATGCCTGACCATTTTTATTTCTTAAATGTAGTCGTGGGTTGCATAATGATGTTTCAGTCAGCGACAGACCACATATACAACAGTGATCTCATAAGATTATAATGGAGGGAAAAAATTTTTATTGCCTATTAATGCTGTGGCCGTGAAAAGGTCATAGAACAACACATTATTCACATGTTGGTGGTGATGCTCGTGTAATAAACCTACTACACTGCCAGTGGTATAAAACTATAGTACATACAATTAGGTGTAGCACATAATACCTAATCATAATAATAAATTACAATTACTGGTTTATTTATTTACTACACTATTCTTTTTTTGTTTGTTTGTTTTTGAGACAGAGTCTTGCTCTGTTGCCCAGGCTGGAGCACAGAGGCACGATCTCAGCTCACTGCAAACTCTGCCTCCTGGATTCAAGCAGTTATCCGCCCCAGCATCCCAAGTAGCTGGGATTATAGGCACCTGGCACTGAACCCAGCTAATTTTTTGTATTTTAGTAGAGATGAGGTTTTACCATGTTGGCCAGGCTGGTCGCGAACTCCTTATCTCAAGTGATCCACCCATGTCAGCCTCCCAAAGTGCTAGGATTACAGGCGTGAGCCACTATGCCTGGCCTACATTATGCTTTTTATTGTCATTTTAAAGTGTACTCCTTTAGTTATTATTTTTTATTTTGTGATTATATTAAAATGTACTCCTTTACTATTAAAAAAAGTTAACTGTAAAACAGCCTCAGACAGGTCCTTCAGGAGGTTTTTCAGAAGAAGGCACTGTTATAATAGATGATATCTCTATGCCCAGTGCTGTGCCTTCAGACCTTCCAGAGGTACAAGATGTGGAGGTGGGAGGTAGTGGTATTAATGATCCTGACCCTGTGTAGGCTTAGGCTGATATGTGTTCTTGTGTCTTTGTGGTTAACAAAAATTTAAAATTAAAAAAGAATAAAGGAAAAGAAAATGCTTATAGATTAAGAATATAAAGAAAGAAAAGATTTTTGTCTAGCTGTACAATGTCTTTGTTTTAAGTTAAATGTTATTACAAAGGAGTTAAAAAGTTGAAAAAATTAAAAAGTTTCTAAAGTAAAATGTTACATCACCAGTAAACCGAGTTCTCTTATTTTATATGGACTGAAATAACACTCAGTTGGAAAAGAGGCAAGCAGGTTTTATTCCTGGCCAGGAATGGAGGAGGGGCTCTCACTATCAATGCCCCTTCTTACCGAGCAATAGAGGCATAGGGTTTTTAAGGACTAAGTAGTCATGCAGCCTCCAGACACACAGGCTCAATTCATACAGATGTCTTCATACAACCCGTGTCACAAAATGGTAGATGTTTTCTTTTAGGGGAGGGAATTTTAGCATTATAGTGATATGTTAATGACCTAAAGGCAACTAGGGGTCATCTGGTCCAGTTTGTGCCAGTTTGGGGGGGTTCTGATCTTCCTCTGGTATCTGGTCAGGGGTCAAGAAACTCTGATACTACCCCAGGCCATCTTATTTCTTTAAGTAGTTGTGCCTATAAATAAAAGAAAAACAATAAGAAAAATATCTTTCCCAGTCATTTCATCAGGGCTGTCCTGGTAACAGTTACAGTAAACTGAGGTTAATTTATTATTGAAGAAAGAAAAATCAGTTTTATAATTTAGTGTAACCTACATGTACAGTGTTTATAAAGTCTGTAGTAGTGTACAGGAATAGGCCTTCCCATTCACTCACCACTCACTGACCCACACAGAGCAACTTCCAGTCCTGTAAGCACCATTCATGGTATATGCCCAAAACAGGTGTACTATTTTAAAAAATCTTTTATACTGTATGTTTACTGTACCTTTTCTATGTTTAAACTTGTTTAGATACACATCTACTTACCTACCATTTGTTACAATTGCCTACAGAGGTGAGTACAATAGCATGCTCTATATACTCTATGAGCAATAGGGTATACCATATAGCATAGTTATGTAATAGGCTATGCTATCTAGGTTTGTGTCAATAACACTCTGATGTTTACACAGTGACAAAACCACCTAATAAAACATTTCTCAGAACGTACCTCTGTTGTTAAGTGACAATGATTGTATTAAATATACTTTGTTTTTGAAGGACACTCACAGAGACAGAGATTACAAATCAAAATGTGTTATGTAGTTTTATTTTATAACTAAAGCATAATGACATTTATTTTTAGTGAATTGTTTTTGTTAGTGACTTTTAAAAATTTATTTTTTTTTTGGGAGGAAGGGAGGAAGGCAGGAAGGGAGGGAAGGAGGAAGGGAGGGAGGAAGGAAGGGATGAAGGAAGAAAGGAAGGGAGGAAGGGGGGAGGGAGGGAGGGAGGGAGGGAAGGAAGGAAGGAAATCAAGCAATGAGAGAGACATTGCTGACCTGGATCTAGAGGTTTACAAGTTGATTTCTTTTTTTTGAGAGAAGGAAAGAAAAAAAAAATGAGTAAAGGAGAGGAAGAAAGAGGAAGAGAAAGAGGGAGGGTGAACAGAAATATTGCTTTATTCTGAAAAAAAAATGGGTATTAATAATGGCCAATCAATGTTTCATTTAAACCTATGAGTAGGTGTGATGTGGTATTGACAAGAATGTATATTTTGTGTATTTGAAGTGGAGAGCTCTATAAATATTTATTAAGTTTACTTGTTCCGGATCTGAGTTCGAGTCCTTGATATCCTTATTAATTTTATGTCTCATTGAATCTAAGTCTGTATGTATCTGGCTGTTAGGATTGTTAGCTCTTGTTGTTGCATTGATCCTTTTACCACTATATCTTTGCTGCTTTAAAATCTATTTTATCCGATACAAGAATTGCAACTCCTGCTTTTTATTTATTAATTTATTTATTTTTGCTCTCCATTTGGTTGGTAAATCTTTCTCCATCCCTTTGTTTTGAGTCTTTGTGTATCCTTGCATGTGAAACAGGTCTGGATGTAACATGCCATTGGGTTTTGGCTGTGTCTTTTGATTGGGGGATTTAGTCAATTTAAATTTAGGGTTACTGCCATTTGATATTAACTGGCTGTTTTATCCATTCGTTGATGTAAATTCTTCTTTATGTTGGTGCTCTTTACTTTTTGATATATTTTTAGAAAGGCTAATACTGGTTGTTTCTTTCTGTGTGTAATGCTTCTTTTAGAAGCTCTTGTAAAGCTGGCCTGGTAGTAATAAAATCTCTGAGTTCTTGCTTGTTCATAAAAGATTTTATTTTTCCTTCCATTATGAAGCTTAGTTTGGCTGGATATGAAATTCTGGGCTGAAGGTTCTGTTCTTTGAGGATGTTGAATATTGGCCCCCACTCTCTTCTGGCTTGTAGAGTTTCTGCTGAGAGATCTGCTGTAAGTCTGATAGGCTTGCCTTTGTGGGTAACCTGACCTTTCTCTCTGGCTGCCCTTAGTATTTTCTCCTTCGTTTCAACCCTGGTGAATCTAACAATTATGTGCCTTGGGGTTGCTCTTCCTGAGGAATATCTTTGTGGTGTTCTCTGTATTACCTGGGGTTGAAACCTGCTTTGCTAGTTTAGGAAAATTTTCCTGAATAGTATCCTGAAGGGTATTTTCCAGCATGGATTCATTCTCTCTGTCGCATTCAGGTACACCTATCAAACGTAAATTTGGTCTTTTCACATCGTCCCACATTTCTTGGAGACTTTGCTCATTCCTTTTTATCCTTTTTTCTCTAATCTTGTCTTCTTGTTTTATTTCATTAGTTGGACTTTGACCTCTGATATCCCTTCTTCTGCTTGAACAATTCGAGTGTTTAAACCTGTGCATACTTCTCGGAGTTCTTGTATTGTATTCTTCAGTTCCATTAATTCACTTATATTCCTCTCTAAGTTGTCTATTCTCAATAGGATTTCATCAAACCTTTTTTCAAAGTTCCTAGTTTCTTTACGTTGGGCTACAACATGGTCTTTTAACTCACTGAAGTTTGTTATTATCCATTCCTTGAAGAGTACTTCTGTCATTGGGATGCACTCGTTCTCCATCAAGCCTTGTTCCATTGTTGATGTGGAACTGTGATCATCTTTAGTGGGAGAGGCATTCTGATTTTGAGTATTCTCAGCCTTTTTATGCTGGTTTCTTCCCATCATTGTAAATATAGCCTCCTGTCGTCTTTGAAATTAGCAACTTTCAGATTAGGTCTCTTGATTGGACGTCCAAGTTGTTAGTTCCCAGGGCCAGAACAGCGGCGTTAAGACTGATCGTACTTTTCTGCCCAGGATTCTCCTGTCTGGCTTCCTTCTTGTGCCAGAAATAGGTGACTCTGCCTTCCCGGGGCTCCAAACCTCGGTCAGAAGGGGAACCAGTCTCGTTTACTCTGCGCTGAGAGCTGCCGCGCCAAGGTGCTGTCACAGCCACTGTGCGGGCCTCAGGAGTTGTGTTGGGGACCTGTGTGGGTCCTCCAAACCTCAGTTGGAAGGGGAGCCAGCCCTGTTTACTCTGCTCCGAGAGCTGCTGCGCCAGCCACAAGAGTCGTGCTGGCGACCCGTGTGACTCCTCCACTGGGGATCTTCTGCTCCGTGAGTGACCAGAATTTGTCTGAAAATGTGGTGTCCTCTAGTTCTCTGCGCTTCCACTGAGAGCTGCAATCCCGAGATGTTAGCGATTGGCCATCTTGGATTGTTTCAAATTCATTTTTTTTTAATAAAGACAAGAGGATAGTCAATGCAAAAGCATTCTATAATGCATACGAAGAACATACAGAACAAGATTAGTCTTGTTGTAGTGGGAGTCAGATTATTCTATTAAAAAAAACCTTTCTTCTTTTCCTTCTCTTGGATCCACTGTTTGTTATGTAATATCTAGTACAGTTCCTTTTCCTGTGTTAGCTTTAATTTTTGAACCTAAAATTGTCTAAATATCTCTGGGACCAAGGATATATGAGAGCATGAACTACAAAGAAAGAGGTTATGATGGGGTTAGAACTTAAAATTCTGAGTTTTAAATAGTCGGTCACCTTTTGTCATGTATTTTACAAGATTATAAAAATGGAGGAAATATGGGGGCCCACTTTTGGTGGACTTACGAATTATACAGAAGACAGAATCAGTAATAAAGTCCAGAATACAGTTGCATCATTTTGGGTTGATGAAAAAGGAAGAGGCTAGGGAAGTCTTTCAAATGCTGAATTTTAAAGAAGCTAGATGTCTGCTCAGGTTGAGATAAAGCTGCATGCTGAAGCTTGATCTCTTAGCTGTCACTCACTCTGTGTTCTTGTTGACATTCTGTGGTGTGGCTACAGCTCGGAATGCTACTTGGAGAATAGTCTTAAATCTTCCTGCGTAAACAAGTTATCTTTGTAGTTACACTCAGGGAGGTAGCTTTTGTTCACCTTTAAATGGAAAAATCAAAGTATCTTAAAGAAAAGCTTTTAAGTATGTTTATGTAAGCATTGAAGTTTTTAAGAAGCATGAAAGAAAAAACAGACCTATTAAAAACTACGTTAATATTCTTTGGAAACTAGTCTTGCTCATTTGACTGCTGCTAGTGCCAAACTAATGTTTTAAATATTAACAGGACTGGAAAAAAATGTGAAATAAAGCTTTGAAGCATTGATTCTAAACTCAGATTCATATTGTTATCATCCATACATCTCTGGCTGTAGCTTATTTACTCATTTCATTTTGACTTTGTGGCTGATCACTGCTTCAAATTGAATATTCTGCATACGATTTACAGTCGCTAAGGCACGTTCAGGAAGGAACCTGTGCAAAAAAGAAAAAGAAATTGAAAAATTTTCAGTTTAAAATATTTGACAACAGAGTTCTTTTTTTTTTTTTTTTTGATCAGTTAGAACACCCGAGAGTTATCTGGTTTGCACTGAATTTTCCTCTGTTCTTCTTTTCTTCCTTTGCAACCACCTCTCCTTTATGTGTACATCTTTCTTTTCTTTTTTCTTTTTTTTTGACATGGTTTCACAGTGGACTTTATTAGGAAAAGTGTAAAAATATTCAAATTCATAAAATTTAAATGAGACAGTAAAATTATGCCTTGTAGCTATAGTGGTTGCTCTAGTCATGACAAGTAAGGTAAAGTCTAAATTATTGCCTCAACACGGAGGTTGCAGTGAGCTGAGATCACACCATTGCACTCCAGCCTGGGCGACAAGAGTGAAATTCTGTCTCAAAAATAAATAAATAAATAAAAATAAAAACGAAAAATAAATAAATAATTGCCTAAATATACACCATTTTATCAGGCTTCTGCTGCAAGCCCAAGGCAGAAAACATTGCAATTATTAGAAGTCAGCCCAATGATGAATCTGCATTTGAAGCTGGAAGAAAGGGAAAGAAAACTGTTCTGATTACAGCATCAAAACATTCCAGTCTGAAAGAAAGTAACTTTATTAACATCCTGCAGCAGAGTACATTACTAATTGTAATCATGCATCAAAATTCTCATTTTATGTCATAAAGAGAGTGATCAGTCTTCTTCATGATTTATGTTTTACTGAGTTTCATGTGGTTCATCCCTCTGAAGATGTTTTTAGGAATATTCCCTCTTCAGGGAGTGTAGCCTAAGATACCCAGGTTGCTTACCACGGCTCATCTTTGGTCATTTAAAATCAGTCAATCTATCCGAACCTATGTGTGCACCTTTGTAATATTCACAGTTCAAATTGTATGCAGATCTAAAGAAAGCACTGATATATACCACTCTTCTCACTGTCTTATCTTATATAAGTAAAGATCTAAAACTGCTGATTAATCTTGATGCTAAAAGCTCACCTAGAGACACCACCAGAATCCATTCCATCCAATCCTCCACCTCTCCTTTTCTACTTACTGAATATCTATTATGCACTCTATAATAAGGTAAACTGAAGTACATAAAAAATACCTTTTGTCTTTGAGGAACTTATTGTTTAGCTGAGAGGCTAAGATGGCCATCTTAAATCAATTGTTCAAAAATATCAGCCATCTAGAATTAAGGGCTATAACTGGAAGGAGGATTCACATAGGCTGGGATAGTGGAGGAAAGCTTCTAAAGGACAACTGATGCCCAGGAATTCATAAGAGTTGAGTAGGCAGATGAAAGGAAGAGAGTGGCCAGGTGCAGTGGCTCACACCTGTAATCCCAGCACTTTGGGAGGGCAAAGCGGGTGGATCACGAGGTCAGGAGTTCAAGACCAGCCTGGCCAACGTGGTGAAACCCCATTTCTACTAAAAATACAAAAAATTTAGCTGGGCATGGTGGCACATGCCTGTAATCTCAGCTACTCAGGTGCCTGAGGCAGGAGAATCGCTTGAACCTGGGAGGCAGAGGTTGCTGTGAGCCAAGATTATGCCATTATACTCCAGCCTGGGCAACAGAGCGATACTGTCTTAAAAAAAAAAAAAAAACAGAAGAAAGGAAGAGAGTATGAGTGAATGTTAAGAGGCAGAAATAACATATTCTGCAAAGAAAGTCATATTGAAAATCACTTTGGTATGGTTGACTAATGCAGAATCTACTTCTTTGTTTTGTGGCTAGGTGGGTGAAAGATGGGGAAATGAGCAAGGGGACAGGGCAGATCTTTGCTGGGAGAAGGACAAGGATAAGAGAGTTTGTGTGGGCCTTTTCCTTTTAACTACCTTCACAAATCAACCTTTGTGCTAGTAATTGTATCTGCTCATAAAATTGTGTCTCTCTGTAAAAGGAATTAAATGAAAAGAAGATTAGCAATATATACCTGTTGCCTAGTTACAAATCACCATGACAGCTTCAAAGGATACAAAAGATTTTGAGACTCTTGTTTATTTTACTGGGATACTATTCTCCAACTCAGGCAGAATAACTGTGTTTATCACCTTGGTCATATGCATGTCTGCTATGATTTTTGAATTTTTCTTTTTTTTTTGAGATGGAGTCTCGGTCTTGTTGCCCAGGCTAGAGTGAAATGATACGATATTGGCTCACTGCAACCTCCGCCTCCCTGGTTCAAACAATTCTTCTGCCTCAGCCTCCCGAGTAGCTGGGATTACAGGTGCCTGCACCACACCTAGCTAAGGTTTTTTTGTATTTTTAGTAGAGGTGGGGTTTCACCATGTTGGCCAGGCTGGTCTTGAACTCCTGACCCCAAGTGATCTGCCAGCCTCGGCCTCCCAAAGTGCTGGGATTACAGGTGTGAGCCATCCAGCCAATTTTTACACCCGGCCAATTTTTAAATTTTTTAATATTAATATGACTTGCTTTGGGCCCCAAGAGAGTAGGGATTCCATGAAACTCACTTCCTAGAGTGCTTAGTACCAAGACACTAATTCAGTCAACTATTTTTTCCCCCGAGACAGAGCCTTGCTCTGTCACTAAGGCTGGAGTGCAGTGGCAATATCTCAGCTCACCACAACCTCTGCCTCCCCCATTCAAGAGATCTCCTGCTTCAGCCTCCTGAGTGCCTGGGATTACAGACGCAGGCCATCATGCCTGCTAATTTTTGTGTTTTTAGTAGAGATGAGGTTTCACCATATTGGCCAGGCTAGTCTCAAACTCCTGACCTCAAGTGATTTGATCACCTTGGCCTCTGAAAGAGCTGGGATTACAGGCATGAGCCACCTAACTGACTCTTGAGACGATGTTGCTTGGGCCTCAAGGTTCTCCTATGATATCTCAAGTTAGTCTATTTAAGCTAAAACAAAATATTGAAATTGATACACCAATGCAGTTTGCACCCTGTTCTCAAATTGTTCTATTTCAAGTTTGTTCATAGTTTATATGGATTTGTTTCAAAGAGGTCCGAGGGCTTATGAAGTTAGTATAGTTATCTTCTCACTGATAAAATTTCAATCTATAAACTGTTCCTCAGAAGACATCTGAGAAATGATTTCCTCTGGGAAATTGTTGCTATTGCTATTTCATATAAATTCTGTTCTCCAAGACTTTAACATTTGAAGTCTATACCTTTTCAGTGATGGGGGCTTTGTTTGTATTACATTATTTTATTCTTACAGCTTCCTTCTAAAGGAGATATTATCACCATCTTCATTTGGCCAGGTGCAGTGGCTCATGCCTATAATCCCAGCACTTTGGGAGGCCAAGGCAGGAGGATTGCTTGAGGCCAGTCATTCAAAACCTTTGTTGCCTGGGCAACAAAGCGAGACTGTCCCTACTAAATAAATAAATAATGAGACATTCTAAAGACATTAAAAGGATAATAAGGGACTGTTATATATAAATTTGTGCCAAAGAAATTCTACGACTTAGATAAAATGGATAAATTTCTTGAAAGACACATATTACCAAGAATTAATAAGTAATTTGAATAGCCATGTAACTATTAAAGGAATTAAATTTATAATTTAAAACTTTCCCATAAAGAAAATGAGAGGCCTAGGAATCTACAAAAAGGAAAAAAAAGTTAAGTGAGTTTAGCAAACAAAAAGTTTAGCAATTTAGCAAGATTGCAAAATAAAATGTCAGCTTACAAAAATCTAATATATACTGACAACAAACAATGGGAAATATACATATATATGTATATTTTTTGAGATAGAGTCTTGCTCTGTTGCCCAGGCTGGAGTGCAATGACATGATTTTGGTTCACAGCAGCCTCCACCTCCCAGGTTCAAGCAATTCTCCTGCCTCAGCAACCCGAGTAGCTGGGACTACGTGTGACACCATGCCTGGCTAATTTTTGTATTTTTTAGTAAAGACACAAGAACAGAAAATGAAACACCGCATATTCTCACTCATAGGCGGGTGATGAAAAATGAGAACACATGGACACAGAAAGGGGAGTACTAAACACTGGGGTCTATTGGGGGGAAAAGGGGAGGGCCAGTGGGAGGGGGAGGTGGGGAGGGATAGCCTGGGGAGAAATGCCAAATGTGGGTGAAGGGGAGAAGGAAAGAAAAGCACACTGCCATGTGTGTTCCTACGCAACTGTCTTGCATGCTCTGCTCATGTACCCCAAAACCTAAAATCCAATAAAAAATTAAAAAAAAAAAAAAAAAAAAAAAGACAGGGTTTCACCATATTGGTCAGGATGGTCTTGATCTCCTGACCTTGTGATCTGCCCACCTCAGCCTCCCAAAGTGCTAGGATCACAGGCATGAACCACTGTGCCTAGCTGGGAAATATAAAGCATTTTTCAATGCCATTTGCATTAGTGTCAAAAACTATGAAATAGGGTTGGGCATGGTGGCTCACGTCTGTAATCCCAGCACTTTGGGAGGCCGAGGTGGATGGATCACCTGAGGTCAGAAGTTCGGCACCAGTCTGGCCGACATGGTGAAACCCCGTCTCTACTAATAATACAAAAAATTAGTTGGGTGTGGAGGTGGGCACCTGTAATCCCAGCTACTAGGGAGGCTGAGACATGAGAATTGCTTAAACCTGGGAAGCGGAGGTTGCAGTGGGCTAAGGTCACACCACTGCACTCCAGCCTGGGCAACAAGAGTGAATCTCGGTTTCCAAAAAAAAAAAAAACCCAAAAAAACCAAAATAAAAACCATGAAATACTTTGGAATAAATCTGACAAAATATGTGCAACACTGAAACACCAAAAATTACATAATACAATTTGAAGATTTAGAAGAAGATTGAAAAAATAGATATTATGTTCTTGGATTAGAAAACTCAATATTGTTGATACATCAATTCTCCCCATTTGATCTGCAGATTCAGTGCAATCTTAACCAGACTTCCAGCAGGCTTTTAAAAATGGAGTCTTTATTATTAAGTACTTCATTATATTGCATTCTTTTTAAACTGTCTTTCCTTTAGGTAGAACAGTCTTCAGCAAAGTTTGGGGAGAGACAGTAGATTTGGTAGAGAAAATGAATCATTTTCTTTTCATAGACTGGGTTGGAAAATAACAGGAAACTTAACTGTTCTCCCCAGGGATGGAGAGTTTCTATGCCAATTCTCACAGCTGAAAGATTCTCCATAATAATAGCTCTATTGGGCAGAGCATGGTGGGTCAGCACTTTGGGAGGCCGAGGCAGGAGGATCACTTGAAGTCAGGAGTTCGAGTCCAGCCTGGCCAACATGGTGAAACCCCGTCTCTACCAAAAAATACAAAAATTATCTGGGCGTGGTGTGGTAGCATGCGCCTGTAGTCCCAGTTACTTGGGGGTGTGAGGCACGAGAATTCCTTGAACCCGGGAGGTGGAGGTTGCAGTGAGCCAAGATCATGCCACTGCAATCCAGCCTGGGTGACAGAGTGACATTATGTCTCAAAATAAATAAATAAACAAATAATAGCTCTACTGGCGTTTTAGTATTTAAGTGTTCTGTACTGTACTTACCTCTGTAGCATCAGAAAGATATTGATATATGATGGAACAAAAATCATTTTCTTATTGGTAAGTATTCCATCTATCAGACTTTTTGCAACTTCATCTGTTTCCAACAAAGGCCATAATCTGTGATTAAAAAGAGCAAAAGTTTACTTTTATTTTTCAAAATTTTAATTTTACAAATAAACAATAGCAGGAAAATTATCCTATAGTTTTACTAAATTTAGAATGAAGATTTAAAGTATTCCAAGATTTGCTACGTGAATGCCATCCTACCCACTTCCTCAACATCCCATATTGTTGTTTTGTGATCACAAACTTATGCTTTCATATCCATTAGGTGTGTTTCATAGCTCACTTAGTCAAAATATCAAAATGGTGGAGAGACATTAGAAGGTAAGGAGTAGAGGAGTCAGGCAAGAAAGAGGAATGGCTAGGATTAATCATGGGTCAGGAAGGACACATCTGACATCTCAAAGCCTGTTCGATGCAAGGAGAAAATTCTATAGCTAAGTATACTTTCTTTCTTGTGGAGGTATTCCATAAAGCTGAATTGTTTTGAGGTCATTTTGTCAGAGGCTTTTAAATCACAGCAACTTCGTCTTGAATAGGGTCTGGGTAAAATAAGGCTGACACCTACTGGGCTGCATTCCCAGGAAGTTAAGGCATTCTTTGTCACAGGATGAGACAGAAGGTTGGCACAAGATTCAGGTCATAAAGATCTTGCTGATAAAATAGGGTGCAGTAAAGAAGCCAGCCCAAACCCACCAAAATCAAGAGAGTGATGAAAGTGAGCTCTGGTCGTCTTCACTGCTCATTACAAGCTAATGCTAACGATAATGCATTAGCATGCTAAGAGACACTTCCATCGGCACCATTACAGTTTACAAATGCCATGGCAATGGCAAGAAGTTACCCTCTATAGTCTAAAAAGGGGAGGAAACCTCAGTTCTGAGAACTGCCCACCCCTTTCCGGAAAACTCATGAATAATCTACCTCTTGTTTATCATATAATCAAGAAGTAACTCTAAGTATCCTTGATGGAGCAGCTCAAGCCATTCTTCTGCCATGGAGTGGCCTTCTCTACTCCTTTACTTTCCTAATAGACTTGCTTTTGCTCTGCATTGTGGACTTGCCCCAAATTCTTTCTTGCGAGAAGTCTAAGAACCCTCTTTTTAGGTCTGGATTGGCCCATTCTGGTAAGAATTTCATATTTGAGATTCATCTCTGAAATGCCTATCTTGCAGTTTAATGAAAATTTAAGAGGGGCCCAAGGAGTATGACAACTAGACGCATGACCTTCCTTATACTGTAGGCTGTAGAGAAATATTCATAAACATAGGCCTAATGTAGAATTGTCTGTCAGTGCAAGATGATGACAGAAAATTAAAACATAAATGGTTTTAAAGTGTTATATTCAAATTAAGATGTCTAGGCATGGACTGAACAGCCAGTGAATATAAAGTTTGGGCAGAGGAGTTAAGGAACCAGTGAATGTTAAAACTCCATTCCCTGGGATGATCTGTGGTTTACTGTAGATTATCATGTGATTGAGGTCTCCACTGTATTGAATAGCAAGCCGGCAGAGAGTAATACAAATCAATACATTTCTTTTTCTTTTCTTTTTTTTTTTAGGTCCATCATTTCTTTTCTTTTTTTTTTTTTTTAAATTGCATTTTAGGTTTTGGGGTACATGTGCAGAACGTGCAAGATAGTTCTGGAGACAACAGATGCTGGAGAGGATGTGGAGAAATAGGAACACTTTTACATTGTTGGTGGGAGTGTAAATTAGTTCAACCATTGTGGAAGACAGTGTGGCGATTCCTCAAGGCCTTAGAAATAGAAATTCCATTTGACCCAGCAATCCCATTACTGGGTATATTTCCAAAGGACTATCAATACATTTCTAAATTACTTGGTTCTGCCCATTCTCTCCCTCATTTCAACTACATGGATCAAACAACCCAGCCTCTGAGCCAAGTGTGACATTACATATCAATGCCTTATCCCTTACTAAGGAAATTCACAATCCTGCAACCTCAATAAAATCAATCCCAAATCTTTAGCATTGTCTATTTTTGTCCCTAAGTTAGCCCCTAGGGGCCCTGTTGTCCAGGGTTCCATTATCCTTACTCTCCTGATCTATTATGCCTTCCTTAAGAGTGGCAGGATACCCTTAGGAAAACTCATTGTACACTAAGCCTGAATGCCTATCAGGAGAGTTTTTATTGGACCCAATTCCTTGTCTAAGAAAACAGGAGTTGCAATAGTACTATAGTATTTACTTACATATTGCATACTTATTAAGTACTGTGAGACAATGTAGCAAATGTAAGAAGCCACATTTGCTCACTTCTGCTTGTCAGCATAATTTCACAAAGTCCCTGACTCTGTGACAATGTGCAGCTCTCTGGAAAGATGCTTTGAAGACAAAACAGGATAGAGCACATGGCCCCCACTGCCAGAGGAGTCCAGCTGAACCTCTCTAAAGGGCTGCTCTCAGGCTATAGGCCTTCGTCTGTAGTCCTCAGTAAGGCTTATAAATAAAACTAACAGCTTTAACTCTTTAAAAACTTATTTTTTTTTGGCCAGGCATGGTGGCTCATGCCTGTAATCCCAGCACTTTGGGAGGCCGAGGCGGGTGGATCACAAGGTCAAGATATCAAGGCCAAGATTTTGAGACCAGCCTGACCAACATGGCAAAACCCCATCTCTACCAAAAAGGCAAAAATTAGCCAGGTGTGGTGGCAGGCACCTGTAATCCCAGCTACTCAGGAGGCTGAGGCAGAATTGCTTGAACCTGGGAGGTGGAGGTTGTGGTGAGCTGAGATTGCACCACTGCACTCCAGCCTGGTAGACAGGGTGAGACTCCAACTAAAAAAAACCTTATTTTTTTTTCTTTAGTTGACAGTACCTATGGTTTATTACCATGAAGGACTCCAGTGGCAGGAAGTGACTCCAGCTGCAGAGACCACACAACTAACTCAGGCTGTAAGAGTCAGTAGCCTCAATGGAGGCAGCACTCAACAGAGAATTGTTTAGTTCTTTCGAATGAATATATTTAGGATTAATTCCCTTCCAGCCAAAAATTGATTTTGAATTATTAAGCTTAGTATATTTTGTTACCCTGCAGTGGAACATATACTAGGATTGTGGAAAATTTGTGAAACAGATGGCTTAATTTTCGGGTCCTTATCCTCACCTTCCTGCTTTTTTCTTCTCCTTTCAGGACTAATTTCCTTTCTTTTATGGTCTTAAATCTTCTCTCATCAGAGACAAGAGTTCTTGCAGAAATTCACCTTGACTAAGAAGCCGGAGACTCATTTGCTGCTCCTTGGAACATTTGCATTTTAAAAACAGGGTGGTAACAGCGATCAAATGTATGGGGGGAGAGGGAGAGAGAGAGAGAGAGAGAGAGAGAGAGAGAGAGAGAGAGAGAGAGAGAGAGAGAGAGAGAGTGTGTGTGTGTGTGTGTGTGTGTGTGTGTGTGTGTGTGTGTAGAGACAGAGGTCTCACTATGTTGCCCAGGATGGAGTGCAGTGGCTATTCACAGGTGCAATCATAGTGCACTACAGCCTCGAAGTCCTGGGCTCAAGCCATCCCTTTGCCTGAGCCTCCCGAATCTCTAGGACTACAAGCATGCACTCTGGTTACATAGACTACATCAAAATTTTCCAAGTCTGTCTCTAGCCTCATCTGGTATGCTTGTAAAACAAAACAAAACAAAACTCCTAATTCTTGGAGCTAATCCTAGTCTACTGAATCAGACTTTCAAAGGATGAGCCTATGAAGTTTATTTTTTAAGTAAGCATAGGCAATAATTCTTAGGATGAGACAGGCTTGGAAAATGTTTGGGTGCCTTATGTTAACATTGTGGCCAGTGATGTGGAAGACATAAAAAAAGGCATAAATACCTATACCTTTCCATGCTCTATTTGAAGAGGATGAACCACGAATGGAAGGGGGGAATATTAGGTATCATTCATTTTGTGGGTGTGGTTTCCAGGAGAGGGAACTAAGGCCATTCCCTTAAGCACACCTCTCTCTGCCCCCCCTTACCCCATTCCCACTTCCCACTTACTCTTAGCACCTGAGTGTGTGTTGAGTTTTTTCCTGGACACAAATAAATACCCCAGTTCATTGGGAATGGATATTCCTGCTAGTCCCTAATGTGTTTTTCCCCTTTATTCCTTTAATTTCAAGATAATAATATTAATTAGAAAAATATTTTTCCTTTTTCATTTTTTTCCATTAGTTGGTCTGCCTCAACATTTCTCGTTAGTTTTCATATCAATTTATCATGCCACAGTCCCATTTTAATTTGATTTTGACCTCACCTTGTGCTTGGATTTTTGGTGAACCCAGTATTCACAAAAACTGGGCAGAGACATGAGATTTTGACACCAGTTTTTCCCAAGGCTTCAAGTTCTGATTCCAGACCTCTGTGAAAGCCAACAGCAGCAAATTTGCTAGAACTATAAGAGAATTATTAAGTGTTGTTAGCTAAGGGACAGGGAAACCAACCTCAGCTTTCTGTGAGAAGGCAGTATCATTTGGGTGAAGAACAAGTAGAAGCCAACCCCTGAAATCATCCACTTGTGATTTTTCTGAGAGCATTAACAGCAATTCATTTTCATTTCCTTACATGATTAAGCAGAATAGTGAATATATCTAATTTCTTAAACAACAATGATAGCAAAAGAACAAAAATAGCTCCATTGATTGGCTTAATGTTCAGTTTTCCATGCTACATGTAAGGTTTTTCCATTGAATCTTCAAACTGTTTTCTATCCGTTTTTATTCCTGCTTTTATTTTGAAAAATATGAATGAGGAAAATCATATTTAGAAATTCTACAAAACTAATATCTATGTTGACAAACTTCTGTATGACTCTGCTCATTTCTCCTCTCACTCGATAACTGGGTTGATAGTTTTTCTCTTGACAATGGTTACCACTTTGGCCTCTTAATTTTATTATGAGGATCTGGAGAAGAGTTTACAGGAAAGGATAATTGGCAAATACGGTAGTATACCCTTAGGAGCTCCCACCTCCTTCCCTTTTTGTCTTTGGTGATGCATTGAGTGTGGTATCTGCAACTTTTATTAGTTACAGTTGTTTCTCTCTCTCTCTCTCTCTCTCTCTGCCTCTGTCTCTCTCTCTCTCTCTCTCTCACACACACACACACACACACACACACACACACTTTCATAGCACAAGCACACTGAAAAAAGTTTTGATCCAGGGACCACTCTGATTGTCTTATCTTGGGTACAAGGCCATGACATAGATATGATTTCATTTTAGCTTCTGTAGGTTTTGCTTCTTGGTCTGTGGGGTTTCAGCTTCTTTCTCTCTCTCTCTCTCTTTCTTTCTTTCTTTCTTTTCCTTCTTTCTCTCATTTTCTTTCTTTTTCTCCTTCCTTCTTCCCTCCCTCCCTTCCTTCCTTCTCTTTCTTTTTTATTTTTTCCTTCCTTAGACGAAATTTTGCTCTTGGCTGAAGTGCAATGGCGTGATCTTGGCTCATGGCAACCTCCACCTCCTGGGTTCAAGCAATTCTCCTGCCTTAACTTCCCAAGTAGCTGGGATTATAGGCATGTGCTAACATGCCTGACTAATTTTGTATTTTTAGTAGAGATAGGATTTCTCCATGTTGATCAGGCTGGTCTTGAACTCCTGACCTCAAGTGATCTACCTGCCTCGGCCTCCCAAAGTGCTGGGATTACAGGCGTAAGCCACCTTGCCCAGCTGGTTTCTGTTTCTTATTCCAGGAAACAATGGAAACATACTTGGCATTACTGTTTTCTCTCATCATTCTACAGAGGAGTTTGCAGAAATCTAAAAATATTTAAAATATAATTACAGCACAGTTTCATTGTTTTAGAAAAAGTCATTTAAAAAATTCATTCTAAACTACTGTAAATTTAAATTCTGTAAATCCAAGCCACTCTGCTCTGAGCATTGCAATCTTGAGGCAGGAGAATAGGGTCTAGAGGCAGGGAACATAAGGCCGATTGATGCTGACTTCCTAGAACTAAATCAAATGGAAACACATCAGCTATGACAGGAAATATCCTCTCCATGTACATAGGGTGTACACTGAGTCAATGACTTTGTAGCTTTACTTCATCCTCTTCATTTACATAGGGCATTACACCAAGCAAACAATGGAAACCTCTAGAGGGTATTTAAACCTCAGAAAACTCTGTAATAGAGCCGTTGAGCCCCTGTGCTTGGGCCCACTCCCACACCATAGAGCCTACTTTCATTTTCAATAAATCTCTGCTTTTGTTGTTTTATTCTTTCCTTGCTTTGTTTGTGCATTTTGTCCAATTCTTTGTTCAAGATGCCAAGAACCAGGACACCCTCCACTGGTAAAAATTTGAAGTGTAATGATCCCTTCAAAGTACAAAGCTATATAACATGGCTGGCAAGTGATACTTACCAATATGGGATGAGATAAGGAATCACTCCGTGGCCGCATACTGAAGCCACTGTGACGATGTGGCCATGATTTCTCTCCATCATCGATGGAAGAAGTGCTTTTGTGATCTTAAGGATCATTGCAGAAAGCAGAAAAACAATGATACAGGCATTAGGTTTCCAAATCAGGTAGTTTTATTTTTGTTAAGACAGAAAGGCATTTGAGAGGACTTAGACAATGAAATAAAATACTTCCCAGCATTCCATGATGAATTCTATAAAAATGATACAAATAAAAATACAAATTTGTTGGTTTCAGTTGGCATTGAGTATGGTATACCCCACGCCAACACTAATCTCAGTATTCCCCTTCCTTCCCTTCAGAAGGAATCAAATAGATCCTTTATTGGATATGTCATCTAAACAATATTCAGGGGAAAATTCAGAGTTTTCAGAACGAAAATAATTCCTTATGATAATTTGGTGACATTTAAGTTTTTGGTTTGAGGCTTTATTCTAATTGAAAGAGTGAAATCTTGCGTAACTATATTAAGACAGTTGAGTAGTGTAAGCTGAGAGTCCTACGCAACACTTATGCATCATGATTGAATTCACTATCTCCCTATTTGTAATATTGTATATTATATATTGATGTTACAGAAAACAAGTCTTTCTTTTTTTACCAAAAACCTCTTTTGTAAGAATTATCAGTGAAATTTTATATTAATTTAATATATCCTATGCAAATTCATAGAACTAGTACTGCCAACCCAAGCTATCCCCAAATTCCCAACCCACAGAAACCATGAGACGATAGTGAACATATATTGTTGCTTTAAACCACTAAGTTTTGTATAGTTTTTTACGCAGCTATCGGTAACTAACATATGAGGTCTCCATGTAGTTTGGTGGGCATGGGAGCCAATTCACATATGTGAGGTAAAGGAAGCACATCACTTTTTTTTCTTCTTTCTTCCAGAATCCAGATTTGCCCTAGATTCACACTAATATTGAGGCACTGGAAGATTAATCAAAAAATGTTCTATACAAAGGCAGTTGTAGTTGATATTTCCATCTCCCACGAAACTAAACTAACCAATTATATGAGGTCTGTGTAGTTCCAGCATCCCATGGATCCAGAGTCTCATTCAAAAATTTCCCCAATCCTACATACAGCCTAGTAATTACTTTTTTTTTTTAAGATGGAGTTTCGCTCTTGTTACCCAGGCTGGAGTGCAATGGCGCCATCTCGGCTCACTGTGACTTCCACCTCCTGGGTTCAGGCAATTCTCCTGCCTCAGCCTCCTGAGTAGCTGGGACTACAGGTGCGCGCCACCATGCCCAGCTAATTTTTGTATTTTTTTTTAGTAGAGATGGGGTTTCACCATGTTGACCAGGGTGGTCTCGATCTCTTGACCTTGTGATCCACCTGCCTCGGCCTCCCCCTAGTAATTACTTCTAATGTCCTTTCCATTCTAAAATTTCACAAAATAAGGACACATTACAAAATTATGGTGTGGAGGGAAAGAATGAGGTCCCAAGTGAGATCATTGAAAAGATGTATACTGACAACACTTAACAAACCTCCACAAACATTTGTTGAGCTCCTGGTACATGCCAGGCTTTGTGTCAGATACTGGTGGACAAGAGAGACCAAGTAGCTTACATTCTGGTGTGTTGTGTCCACTTGGACTTTGTGTCCTTATGTCAGAGACTCTGTGACTCTACTACACAAACAAATTTTATGATTCTTCATTAAGGCAAAGATCTGGCCAGTTTCCTGCTCAGAAGTATGTGAACTCCTTTATAAGTTTCATGTATCTTAAGAGAAGGTGTACAAATCAGAAATGTTTCTGACTCACACTCACCCAAAAATGTCCTAGGATGTTGACCTCAAATGTCTTGGTAATCTCTTCATCCTTGGTACTGAGAAGATCAGCTGGATATACTGTCCCAGCATTATTCACCACGATTGTCACATCACCCACTTCTTTCTTCACCTTTTCAAATTGAAAGAACACATTCATTGGGTGTGTTATACAAAGTCAAAGTTTTGGTGCCCATATAATCCAGAGATTAGAGTCTTTCTTCTACTGGGTGAGGTATCTCAGAGTTCAGGCAAGACAGACTGTTGAGCTCAAATAGCGGAGGCCAAGGGGACACTGTCATAAAGGTAGGATAAATTGTTCTTTTAACATCTAAATTTCAGTACCCAGCACATCATGGATTTTACAAGTATATCAGTAAAGTGAAATTAGCATTTATGTTTATAAATTCCAAAATAAGCTCTGACCAAATATTTTTAAAGTGTCCATTTTTTGAAAATGTGTTTTTCTCTAAATTTTTTTTTTTTTGTAGAGACAGTTTCTCACTACATTGCCCAGTCTGGTCTCAAACGCTTGGGTCTCTTGCAATCCTTCCACCTTGGCCTCACAAAGTGCTCAGATTACAAGTGTGAATCATTGCACCTGGTCTAAAGTGCTGGTTGAGTAATCCTGGTTTCACAACCTACTAACTACATGACCTTGGTCTGGCTTAACCTCTCTGAGTCACAATTTGTTATCTGTAAAATGAAGTTTACAGGATTATTGTAGGGAATAAATTTAAAAACATGTTTGTTGGAGTGCTTAGTTCATTGTGATGATTTGATATTTACTCTTTTAAAATAATTGTTATAATTAATAATATTACATTTTCTATAAAAGACTAGATTAACACCAAAATAAAATCTCACAAGGGAAATAATTAGAGAAGACAGAATTACTGCCAAGTTAATAGTACTAAAACAAAGCCAAGAAGTGATCCATATTCCCTGATGATAAATCTTTTGTCAGTCACTCTGTGCCACTGCTCACACTTCTGATCAGAATGAAGTTGATTAATGATATGAAATAATAACAATGGACAGAGCTGAGTGGATTACATATAAGAAAAAAGGTATTTATCCTTCTTTGGTCACATAACTACTTCAGTTAGCAGCTAAAATCTAATTTAAATCAGACAGTCAGAAAGAACTTTCCCATTTTCCATGTCAGCGTCTGTGGAAACAAAATCATCTGAAGATATTTGTGAACCTGAAGTCTCACCTGATTTATGGAGCTATAGATCTCTTCTCTGTTGCTGCAGTCTACCACATACGCATGTGCAGTGACACCTAGTTTTCTGCACCCAGCTGCGGTTTCCTCCACACCATGCTGTAATTGGAAGAAACAAATTCTGAAAAAAAGTGGAGGAAAAGGCATTGGAGAAGAAAAATTTTTTAAAGATTAACATTCGGCTGGGCATGGTGGCTCATGCCTATAATCCCAGCACTTTGGAGGTCAGGAGTTTGAGACCATCCTGGCCAACATGGTGAAACCCTGTCTCTACTAAAAATACAAAAATTAACTGGGCATGGTGACATGGGCCTGTATCTCAGCTATTTGGGAGGCCAAGGCAGAGAACTGCTTGAACCTGGGAGAAGGAGGCTGCAGTGAGCCGAAATTGTTTCATTGCATTACAGCCTGGGTAACAGAGCTAGACTTTGTCTCAAAAAAAAAAAAAAATTAACATTCATGTTCAAAAGAAATGATTAATGTTTTAAAAATTGGCCTCTTGGGCTGGGCATGGTGTAATCCTGTAGTCCCAGCACTTTGGGAGGCCAAGGCAGTTGCATTACTTAAGGTCAGGAGTCTGAGACCAGCCTCGTCAACATGGTAAAACACTGTCTCTGCTAAAAATACAGAAAATTAGCCAGGTATGATGGCAGGTACCTGTAATCCCAGCTACTTGGGAAACATAGAGAGGAGAATCACTTGAACCTGAAAGGCGGAGGTTGCAGTGAGCCAAGATCATGCCATTGCACTCCAGCCTGGGCGACAGAGTAGGACTTTGTCTCAAAAATAAATAAAATAAAATAAAATAAAATAAAATAAAATAAAAATTGGCCTCCTCATTTGTTAGAAAAATTCTTGAGAGAGACTGATTGCCTAGTTGCAATGACATTATGCTTGGCTTTTCCGTTAGGGAACGTTCGTATTAAAACCAAAGCAAGCAAAACGAAACGACATCCCTTTGGGTTTTTCCAGTTTTCCGTCTTGGTTGGAGGCTGCACAGTAGGCAGCTTCTCTAAAGCAGGCTACTTTCAAAGCCTGAAGAACATTCTTGGAAAACGTTGCTCTTCGTGGTGTCATGGAAGATAAATATGGAGAAGAAGAAACTCAACGATTAATCTATCATACATTGTTGAGCACAACTATGTAATAGAGAGTAAAGTGCTAAGCAGCAGTTCTAAATTGGTGGTAATCGTAAACTATATGCCTCTGCCCATCATACTTTTCTCAATGATTTTGACTCATCCTTCTAGAAGGGAAGGGGAAAGAAGGCTCCTTTGAACAAGGACTATCACAGGGAGACCATGCTGCTACTCTAGGAGATATAATATTACATTCTTCAGGTGTTTGGGAGTGAGATGGGCAAGGGCCACTGGATGGATTTCTCATTTATGTGCCAGCCTTGCACATAATCACTGGACATGGAGACAGAGCAACTTACTTTCAGCCTAAATTCAAAGACTTCTTTCTAAGATAAAATTGCCCAATGTTTCTTGACTCGCATTTCTGGAAAATTAGAATTCTTTTCAAGGTTTGACATCAGGTGACTTTCCTAGAGAAGATTATAAGGTTTTAAAAATTATACTTTTCCATGTCACAATCTGTAAACTCTTCTCAGTGATGAAGAAGCAAGGATACCTGAAAAGCCCCTTTCTTTGCGTATTGAGATGACAGCGGTGTGGCTGCTACTTAGGGCAATCCTTCAGGGAGTGTCTCTGGGTCCTTTGTATGTCACTACTGTAGGCTAATCCCTGGAGCAGCAGCCTGAAATCCCCAAACATAGATGTTAGGCCTAGTCAAAAGGCAGTATCTCCTCAATTAGCCTTTTGTGGGACTACAGAAGAGTAAAAACAGGAGGAGAGTCTTTCCCCGACTTAGGCTGCAGCTGGTAGCTTGCTCACTGCCAGACTGCCCAAACTACAACATACTCTTATCTGTTTCTAGGTTAGTAGAGAGCATTAGTAACCAGAGCATTCATCAGATGTTTCAATTGAATAATTAATAATTCTTCCATTTTATAACTGAGCTAGACAATTGCAAAATGTAATGCCTTGTCTTTTCGTTAGCAAAACACTTGCTTTAGCTTAAACATCAGTGTGTTTTTTGAACTGCATTCCCAAAGCGTTTAGATTGCATAAGAGCCAAACTGCTACTGCGTCTCTCATCTCACAGGGCAAAAGGAGCCAGTTATGGGAAAAACTCACATAGCATTTTCCTCAGCTAAAGGAGATGCGAATTACATTACGGCCGTGGAGTGGATCATTCAGTAGCTTAAGTGTTTAACCATAAAATTTAACGATTCAAAGAGAATTTTTGAGGTTGGGTTACCCATTCTTCTTAAGTCTTTTTTTTTTTTTTTTTTTTTTTTTGAGACAGGGCCTGGCTCTGTTGCCCAGATTGGAGTGCAGTGGTGCCATCATATCTCACTGCAACGTTGGCTTCCTGAACTGAAACGATCCTCCCACTCAGCCTCCCGAGTAGCTGGGACTACAGGTGCACACCAGCATACTCAGCTAATTTTTGTTTTTTTTGTAGAGGCAGGGGTTTTGCTATGTTGCCCTGGCTTGTCTCGAACTCCTGGGCTCCAGCAGTCTGCCCACCTTGGCCTCCCAAAGTGCTGAGATTACAGGGTTGAGCCCCTTAGCCTGGCCTTGTCATTACAACTTCCTTCTAATTTACTTTTCTCTTGTCACTGGAAATTTTTAAATTAAAAAAAAAATCTTAATAAACGTAGTTCTTTCCCCAAAAATACATATCTGGAAAGAGAGTCGAAGGTTAGATTTCATCAAGCCCTTTTCATGGATTTATACTTATTTATGTTTTTGGACAAATGCCTGAGAACAGCAGGCAATGATTTTCTCTATTTGTAAATTCTTGCTATCTTCCAGAAGTTCATTTGAATTTCACCATACAGATGCCAAACCATTTATATATATATTAACTCATCTATTATATACAAGCTCATCTCTGTTAAATAAAAATGTATCAGCTTTTTTTGTGTAGTATTCTTCACCATTCAGAAAGAACTAGAGAAGAATTAGTTCTCTAAGTTTTAGAGACATTTTAAGTTTCAACTAGACATGACAGCAAAGAATATGAGAAAGTAATAATTTAATGGTAATTAAAATCCCACTGTAATTTGCAGAAAGTCTGATTCTCAAGAAGTACTTCACAACTTTTCCAATCCTAAAAACACTTTTCTGTGTATATTTTCATGGCCTTACCAGAATGTACAAGTTTAGAGAAAATGACACAAGATTTCAGTTACTTCAGTTTTATTTGGGGTGGTTAATGTAGTATTTACAAATAAGAACACACGAAAAATACTTATGTCCAAGGGAAAACCTGACTCACTGCACACAGATTTTATTTAACACATCTATTGTTTATCATGTGCCAAGTATCATTTCCATGTGCTAAGTGCTGAAAATATTTACTTATTTAATTTTTTTGGCTAGGGACTGGCAAACATTTTCCGTAAAGGGTCAGATAGTAAATATTTTAGGATTGTGTTGTGTGTGCATGAAGAGAGGCACTCAGGGTTTCTGTTGAATGTTCTTCTTTGACTTTTGTTTGGTGACTTTTAAAAATGTAAAAATCATTCTTCGTTCAACAGGCTGCCCACTGGCCAGATTAGCTCCATTAACTGTAGCTTTCAGATCCCGTTCTTGCCCATCCCCTAAGTTATTATCCTCATTTCAGAGCCCAGAAATCTGAGGCTGACAGAAAGTACCTGACTTATCTCATTTAGCAGCTTGGAAGGAGCCTGGTTCCTCAGTCTTTGCTGTCAATCTGCATGCCATGTCATAAATATTACTACTTAGTTTTCAATTACATTCCCTTCATCTAACTAACCTGACGCATACACAGACTAAGGCTCCAGGGAATTTATCAAACTTTGAGAAACAAAAATACAAAGATAAGCAGATGGTAAGTCAAATAATTCTTAAAATACACATCTTACTCTGTGACTTCAAAAGGTCGGAAAATGTATACATTACCTTATTAATATCCCAAAGAACCAGTCTGCTCTGTCGTTTCGCAAACTCATAGGCAGTCTGCCTCCCTATTCCATGCCCAGCTCCGGTAATGAGAACAATCTCCCCAGCCACAGATTTTCTTCTCCGAGGAATGAAAAACTTCACCAACGACTCCAAGTAGGAGTAGATGATGGTGATCAGAAGCAGAAGGATTTCCAGGACAATGTTCATGGCTCTGTTCTGTCCTCCTCCTTCTTGTTCAGTCCTTGCGTAGTCCTAGAGAGGAGATACTCTCTGCACAGAGCTCCAGGGAAGAGCTGTGCCCAGGTGTTAACAGGATTGCCAGATGGAAGTTAGCTTTGGAAACAGGCTTTGTTCACATGCTCTAATGGATTGGAAACACCTTGAGTTTTTGTAGTGATGCCAAGTGCTAGCAGTAGCTTAGCTTAGGTCAAGAGAATGTGCTCTCTGGACTTTTTTTTTTTTTAATCTGAAAAGCAGTTATGTACTATATTTCACCTTGAAGTTTCACCTCTAGAAACAATTCTGGAGGCCAGGTGCAGTGGCTCAAACCTGTAATCCCAGCACTTTGGGAGGCTGAGGCAGAGAATTGCTTGAGTCCAGGAGTTCGAGACCAGCCCGGGCAACATAGCAAGACCCTGTCTCTAAAAAAAAAAAGTTATAGAAAAAAATTAGCTGGATTTCATGGTACGTGTCTGTATTCCCAGCTACCTGGGAGGCTGAGGCAGGAGGATTGCTTGAGTCCAGGAGTTCGTGATGCAGTGAGCTGTGATTGTGTCACTGCACTCCAGACTAGGCAACAGAACAAGGCCTGGTCTAAAAAAAAAAAAAGAAGAAGAAGAAAAAAAGAAAAATAATTCTGGAGATATTGCATCAGCTAATGATCTGTTATCTTTCTATAAATTGTTTTCTTTTTTTTTTAAATAGGGAAAAGGAGAATGTAGAGATAAGCTTAAGGAAACTTAGATAAAGTCTGAATGAACCCAGCTTAGCTATTTGATTCATTTATTCACAGAAGCTCAGCATCAATATTTCAGTTGGCTAATTATTTTACAGATGATGACCATTTTTCTGAAAATCTCTTGAGTTTGGGGGAGATTTTAGTATATAAAACCTTCAGTTCCTTTTGTGATAATATTGGAAAGAGCGTTAGACCAGGAGTCTGAAATCTCAGTTTTAAAGTGGTGTGGCTTGTCTGCTGTTGTAACAAATTACCATTGACCAGGTTGTTTATAAATGACATAAACTTATTTCTCACAAGATCCAAGATCAAGGCACTAGCAGATTCCTTGTTGTAAGAGCTGGCTTCCTGGTTTACAGATGGCTGCCATTTCACTGTCACATCAAGAGGCAGAACATCAAGAGGCAGAAGGAGGAAGGGAACCCTCCATGTTCTCTTGTATAAAGGCACTCATCTCATGGCAGAGCCCTCATGACCTAATCAACACCCAAAGGTCTCACTCCCTAAAACCACCACACTGGGGGATAGGATTTCATAATATGAATTTTGAAGGAACACATTCAGCCTATAGCAACTTCCAATAGCCAAGAAGTGGAAACAACCCCAGTGTTCAACAGATAAACAGATGAACAAAATATGATATATATATGTACAATGGAATATTATTCAGCCTCAGAAAGGAAGGAAATTCTGACACATACTCCTAGATAGATGAACCTTAAAGACATTATGCTAAGTGAAACAAGCCAGATGCAAATGTATAAATATTGTATGACTGCATTTATATTGTAGCAGGATTCAGAGACTGGAGAGATCGCTAAGGTTGCAGGAAGATTTATTTTAGGTGTAAACCGGCCCAGCTCAGACTCGTGTCCAGAATGGCTGAGCATTAGACAAAGCAGACAGGATTTCTTTTATGCTCCTCAGGGGGCGAAAATACAAAGCAGGAAGTACGTTTTACAGAAATGGGCACACAGGCAGTTAATCATCCCTGCCATGTCTTGTGGCGTGTCTTACATCTTGAAAAACATGTTTGTAACTTAGCTTATCTGCGCAGTGGGCTTGCAGCTGTTTCACCAGGAAAACAGGGACTTACAGAACTTTTAAGGAACGTTGAGCATAGATAAGGTTAAAGTTCTGCAGAAGGGAAGAGAGGCACTTAACTATTTCTCCTTAACTTAGGCTCCAGGGGGGCCTTCTTACAAACCATTTTTCTGCTAGCTAGAGTTATTTTAATTTTATATCATGTTGTTTCATTAATTTTCTCTTCCCTCTTCAATATATTGTACCTAGAGTAGTCAAATACACAGAGAAAGACAGAAAGCCATATGGCGGTTACTAGTGGATGAGGAGAAAAGGAATGGGGAGTTATTGTTTAATGAGTATGGAGTTTCTCTTGGGATGATGAAAGCTCCACGGGTGGATGGTGGTGGTGGTTGTATAGCAGTGTGAATGTGCTTAATGCTACTGATCTGTACACTAAAAAATAATTAACATGGTAAGTTGTGTGTTACGCATGTGTGATTTCCAGCAATCCTACTTATTTTCTCTATGCTACAGTTCCTTAACTGGAAAATAGAGATAAAAATAAAGCATACGTTACCCAACATAGATCTTCAGGACACATAATAGCCTCAACCTTCCCTCACACACTGACACACGAGGTGGCTATAACGATCAAATGAGAGAATATGTTTATGAAATAGTTTTGCAAGTAGTGAATGGTTATATAAATCAAATCATAATAATAGTACGAATTCAAATGTGTTAATCACTTACTATATATATCAGGGACTGATTTAAGGCCTTTACATATCAACTTATTTAATCTTCACAAGATACATTTGAGGTAGGTGCTATTAAAATCTGCATTGCCCAGATGAGGAAACTGATGTACAGGCAAATTAGGTGACTTATTTGTAAGAGTAAAGTAACAGCTGGAAAGAGGCGGAGCGAGGATTTAAACCCACAAAGCCTGATTCTGTAGTCTCAACGTTTAACTTAGATCAGTGATTCTCAACGAGGGTTACTTTTGTTCCACAGGGTACATTTTGGCATGTCTGGAGACATTGTTTGCTGCCACAGTTCAGGCATGCCACCATCATCTATCTAATGCGTAGAGGCCAGGGAAGCTGCTGAACTCTTTACAATTCACCAGAGAGCCCTGTGCATTGAAACCAAGAATTGTTTAGCCCAAATCTGAGTAGCCTCAACTAAGGCTGAGGCCTGGCCTATACTTATATTATATTGGAGACAGTGTAATTTGTTCTTTAAGTTTGAACCTTGGATGAATTTATGACAAAAAATTAGTACTTGATTATATCTTTCTGCATGCAGGTTTGCTGTGACATTTATATGGAGTTGTTAGGTATTGACAGAGGTGCTCTAGATCAGACCCCACGCTGGACTGCAGTGCAGGAATCTGTTTTCAGATTGAATGTCTACAATTTGAATATCCAGCTTGCTCAGAGGGGGCCAGACCCAGAGGGACTAAATGCTATTTAAATTAATATGTTACTGATGTACTTTTGAAAGGCAGTTTTAAAATTTACAGTGGAATCTAGATTATTTTACACACTGGGATATTTGTCTTATGCAATAATTAAGAATCTTTGAGACAGTGAACAACACTTCTTAACACTGTTCTCAAATTGTTTGGTTGCTGAGAAATTTTATTTCATATGAGACAACCTAGTGAACTCTGTTTTTTTTTTTTTTTTTTGCTTGTTTTCTAGGGGACAGAATGTTCATGTTCCTCAAATACAGGGTTCACATTTGCCCCAACAACACAGAAACATGCACTTTACCCCTTGATTTTTTCTTTTTTTTTTTGAGGCTGAGTCTCACTCTATTGCCCAGGCTGGAGTGTAGTGAAGCGATCTTGGCTCACTGCAACTCTGGCTCCCAGTTTAAGTGATTCTCTTGCCTCAGCCTCCCGAGTAGCTGGGATTACAGGCACATGCTACCGCGCCCAGCTAGTTTTCGCACTTTTAGCAGACATGGGGTTTTACCATGTTGGCCAGGCTGTTCTCAAGCTCCTGACCTCCAGTGATTCACCTGCCTCGGCCTCCCAAAGTGCTTGGATTACAGGCGCCAGCCACTGCGCCCAACCTCCCTTGATTTTTTTGCCCTAAGTTTTAGAGACTTTTTGCTTATATGTCTTTATGACATCATTGGTTTAATTTCAACAGATCTTCATAACAATATTTAGTTTGCTTTGATCACATTTTATGTCAGTTTCCTACTGATATGAATGAAAGCACCTTAAATTTATCATTAATTTGTCTTTAACTCACATTATAGGATGAGATGCTTTCAGTAAAATTTTCTCAACTAAGCTAAAATCATCCATAGCATTTAGAATCTTATTAAAATAAGACATTTTCCAAATTTTGTCTGCTTTTTTTTCTTTCATTAATGTCCCTCTTGAGAGCCATCAGCCTACCAATTTTAGAAATGTAATTATTTTTATTCAGGTAAGAATAATTATCTTTGAACAAAGAGTCAACACTAAGCCATCATTTCCTTGAAGATCATAAAACGAGGAAGTTACGGAATTTATTCACATTAATCTACTGTTTGTTTAGGCTAACCATAGTAACCTGACAAGTAGAGGTTTGGAAATACGATCTCTTCAAATACATACTCTTTTCTTTTCCTCCCTGCTGGGGTTCATTATTTCATTGTCAAGGGTTCTATTCATATGTACTGCCAAACCGATAAAGTAGTACTAGGTATTCTTAAAAGACATATAAACCTCTCCTTGTGTTTCCAAAACACCTATCCAAATACACAAACCCCAAACTCACATTTCATGCAGAGCCTTGACATGTTTTGGTTATAAAACCTCTTGCTTCATCACTGCATACCAATCCCCCTTGTAGTAGCCAAGAGGGTCCTGATCTCTACAGTCTGGTTCTCAATCTTTCTTTTCTTGTTCTCCTAATTCTTCTTCCTCTGTTTATTCCAAACTCTTCCTGCCTAAAGTTTGTCTCTTTTGCTTTCAAGTATTTTCAGATCTCTCCTATTATAAAAATATTCAAGGAAATCATCACGTCTTCCATGTTTTACTACCAAATTAGTCCACAGTGATTACCTCTGTTTTCTGACTTCCCATTTCCTTAAGAACACAGAAATCTCTTGTCCTTTTACCTTTTTTACTCTCTACTTGGTGCAAAGTGCTATGACAGCTGCATATAAGGAGCAACAGGAGTTCACAGAAAGGGCAAATTACCCAGCCCTGAGGATGGAAGTGGGAGGTGAGCTATAAATGGGCCCTGGCAGGTGAGGATCATGGTGAGGTCAAGGAATAAGAAGCTCTGGCTGGGCGCAGTGGCTCAGACCTGTAATCCCAGCACTTTGGGAGGCAGAGGCAGGAGGATCACTTGAGGCCAGGAGTTCGAGATCA